AAAAAAAATTTTCTTTTCGTTAATAATTGTTAAATCTATCAATTAACTAATTACATAATAATTTAATTCCTACCATCGAATGGTTTGAATCATCTAAGATGTAATAAAAGCCAATAAAGCGTTTTAACCTATTGCGACAAAGTTTCAGTAATTTTTACTCGAATAATCAATTTATTTTTAAACTTATTTGTTAATTTAACGAATTTATTTTTAGTTGCGGTAATAGTTTCACTCGAAACACTACTTGAATTGTGGCGCAGCGAAAACAAAAATTAAAAAAATCAAAATATTTTTTTTTTAATGTACGTTTTATTTATTATCAAAAACAAATATGATATTTTAATAAGTGAGTTTATGTAAGATTTTGTTGTCGTTAGATCTGATTTTTGAAAAAATTTTAAATTGCCACAAAATTGACATTACGTAAAGTGTTCCAGCATAGAACATAGAACATAGAATAGAACATGAAAAAGAACGATTAATTATTGTAAACTCTTATTACGGGTTATTAAATTAAACAATTATGAATCAACTATTGGTTAGTAGATAATTGTTTTAGTCACTTTTTTTGATTTTATTTTTCATAGAATTTTTAAAAATAATGATAGGAATTAAATATAAATAGTCTGAATATCCTAAAGGAAGTGAATAATATTTGATTTCGCAAGAAATTATTAACTACACGATTATTTATTTTAACAAAATAATTTGTAAACAGGAGCTGACTAATGATTGAGATACAACATATTCAATAGACATAGACTCAATAATACTTAAAAAATAAATATATATAGAGAGCCACACTATTCAACTGATTAATACAACATTTAAAGGATGTGCTACACTCACCATATTTTTTAAATACGAATTAATTCATTTACCGCTGTAGACTTTTGAATCCATTTGCGCTCATTTCTTTACGTTTCTATTTATAAACAAAGGAAAGGTAAGGGTTTTAATATTAGGTAAGTATGATGCAAAATCTGCCTTCAACGTCGACGATCGAAATTCCGTTTATTCTAAAATGCTAATTTTAATAATTAAAAACAAGAACAAAAGGAAAAATATATTAGGAAAATAGTAAAAAAAATGATCTGCCTAATTCCCTAAGAGAAACCTAAGACAAATTGGCCAGAGGGTCTACAATGTTCTGTCTAATTGTAACAATATCAAATCCAGATTGATAAGTTTCATTCGATAAATTAATTTCGTTATTACTTTCGTCTATAAAATCACAAAAATTTATTAGATAAATTTTGGAATTACATATATAAATAATTTAAGTTATAAATACCATCATAATCTTCAATCTGATTACTTTCAAACTTTCGTTTACTTATTTTTTTTTTTTAGACATGATTATTATTGAATAATTCGCTTCAAAAATTACCTATGGAATGGTTATTATGAAAACCGAGTTTATGACGTGTGAACATTTTGTAACCTTTATACAATGGAAGTTTCGTTCCTTCGCAAATAAATTAAGTTCAAGAGACAAAGTATTTTTTTGACGTATTACAGTTCTGCTTTTGAAAATGGTCGCTCAAAAAAACTACCTATATACCTATAAAATGAATTTTATGCAATACGGAGTTTATTGACGTGCGAAACATTCCGTAAATACTCAAAAAAAAGTAGTTTCAGCTCTACATTCAAATAGAAACCCTACCCTAAGCTTTCGTTCATTCGAAAATTTAACAAGTTCAGGTGAACTAGTGATCTTCATATGACCCGTTAAATTTTCAGAAATTGAATGGTAATTATATAAATTTGAAAAATAATAAATGTTCCTATCTCAATTCATTTTAATTTTCATTCTAAGTTCATTTCTATACCTCATAAAATAAATTTTTTTGTGCAGTTTTCGTACCAAAAAAATACCCAATTTGGGACGTTTTCTATTAAATCATTTTAATAAATAAGCAACCACCTTATTTAACTACAATTCCTGAACAGTATTTAAGGAGAAATAAAACATTAGAACATGTAGGTTCATTTTAACATTTTTGCCTGGCTCTGTAAGTTTAATTTTGAACGCTAAGTAAAGGTAAATATTAGTTATATCCTGGCTAATTAGGGATAATTTGTATTATAATCTTTTATGTTATAATTTATGCGGACTGACCCGACGTTCGAGTTGTTCCTCGATTCACACATGAATATAAATTGTACTAAATTGAGATTTCTTGTTATTGAATTATCTAATCAAATGAGCAATGTTATTCTCGGATACAAAAATTTTTTTTTTTTTTTCTTTTTTTTTTTACAAATAATTACCTTTGTTTAATAGGTAACAAGATTTTCATGAAACTTTTTTTATTTGGATTAGGTCAATATCCAACGGATAAATCCGGACAAAAAATTTAAAATAGAGTTTATATAAATATATAATTTTTTAAAAAAAACTATATAATCCTCTCTTATCAAATAAAATAAAAATTTACTAATATACAAAAAAAAAAAAAAATAAAAAGTTTCAAACAATTATATTTTATCATTATTTATATACATGAATAATCCGGTTTTAAATATGGTTTAACATCGAATGATCGGATATTAAACGGATTAAACTTTGATATCCGGTTCCAAAAACAAATTTTTTAATGAAAACTTATTCATTTTTCATGAAAATGATCCCTCATTTTTTCTCCTCCTTCAGTTTCTCTTCTTCATTGATTTCCAAATCACCTTGTTCGGCTTGTTCAATAAAATTAACGTTCTTATATTCTTTACTAAATAAGGTTAATACAACCAATGAAGCCATGACAATGAGGGATAAGATACCAATAGTTAAACCATAATTAGATTTCCCATCTTTCTTAAATCTCTCCCCTAACTTTGCTTCAATTTGTGCCGATGATGCTGATATTAAATTCCCCAATTGATAAGTTAATCCTGGGAACGTACCACGAAATTCTGGTGGCGAAAGTTCATTCAAGTGTGCCGGAACCACCCCCCATGCTCCCTAAATGTATCGAAATAATCAGATATTTTATTTAAGTATCGTTAAATGAAGTATGCTTAAACTCATTTGAAAAAATTGTTAACAGTATACCTGAACGCAAAAGTACAAGGCGAAAGCTCCAACACTCAAAGATGCAAAACTTTTCGGTAACAAGTACAGAGGTATGAAACATGCTGCCAAAATTACCGTAATTATAATAGTAACCTTGCGACCATACAATTGTGACAAATATCCACAGATTGTGCCACCAATTATGGCTCCTATGTTTGCTATTACCGTAAGAATTGTAACTTGGGTTGTATCATATCCAAGTTGCAATTTCAAGAAAGTCGGATACAAGTCCTGTGTACCTATGTAATTAACATTCTTATTAATATTATTTTTTTTTTATTTCCTGATTTAACGCGGTGAAATATATTTACCATGACTCAAAAAGTTAAAACAAGCCATTAAAAGAACACAATAGATGAACCTTCTCCAATGATGTTTTAATACTAATTTAGTACTTTGCAACCAAGCTTTACCAGTTGAACCAGTTGATTTTCTAACATTCTGTTGCGCTTTCCAGGTAGGAGATTCGGGTACAAACACACGAATGATTATAACCAATATGGCGGGAAATGAACCAATCCAAAACATCGCCCTCCAACCGATATGATCTACTACTGCAAAATGTAAAAGTGAAGCCAAAAGAAATCCCGTAGCATAACCTTGTTGTAATATGCCCGAAAATAATCCACGACTTTCGGGCGGTAAAATTTCCATGGCTAATGCTGCGCCTAATCCCCATTCACCTCCCATGGCAATTCCAAAAATTCCTCTTAAAATAATAAAAACCAAAAAATTTGGTGCAAAACCGGACGCTAATTCCATAACGCTATAAAGAATGATATCTACCATCAATGGATATCTCCTTCCATAACGGTCTGCTAACAGGCCAAATATTGCGGCTCCTATTGGACGGAAACATAATGTAATCGTAATGCTATATAAATGACAAGAGATAGATAGAACATTTAATCTGATAAAACCTGACTAAAATGAAGTTGAAGGTTAAATATTAGATCAATAATACCTTCCAGCAATATCAGAAGGTTCCATGTTAAATTCTTTTGCAATAAAAGGTACGGAGAATATCACAATAAAATAATCAAATGCGTCCAATGTCCATCCTAAAAATGCTGCAATAAAAGTGAATTTTTGTGCTCTATTAAGCGACATTATTAGCTTCCATGGATTTTGCGCTTGTTTTCTTCCATTGTTATTATTATTTTTTGAATTTGATTCCGGATCAGTTATTGCAGTGTTCCCTTCCATAGTTGATAAACGTTAAATCCCTTAAGCAATAAATTAAAATGTTATTTTTAATTTAAAAAAAAAAGAAAAGGAAAGGAAGAATTTTATCAAAATATCAAAATGTGGGAAATTTAAATAGAACGAATATTATGATTCCCCAATAAGTAAGATCACTTTGACAAAATTCAGATTACACAAGAATAACCTTAATATACGATTAAACCTTTTCCAAAAATATTCATTATTAATTTAAAAAAGGAATTTGATGAATATCAATGAACAAATAAAAAAAAAACGTAATTTTATACGCACTCAAATCGTCCATATGTATATATGTTTCTTGTAATATTTTAAAAATGAATCAACATTTAAGATGAGAAATGACGTCAAACAGGTTATTAATTCGAAACGGGCGTGAGTGCAAACAAGAATTTCGAAGGAAAAAAAATTTTTTTGGTAACTAAATTAGGAGGTAAATACTCAAAAAAGAAGTTTATCAAAATTTCCGATCGTCTTTATATAGAAGGATCAACAATATGATTGTCAAAGGTAACTTTAAATAGAGAAATTATTTTTTCTATTTATAATCTATATTCCCCTGCATCACGAAATTTAATCATCATGCTAATCATCGGGGCTTTAAATATTGATGAGAATAATTTTATTATTTTAACTTATAATACAATAGGATAAAATTTAATATTATTTACAGGGTTTGTATACAACTTTCGCGAATACTTTACGCATCACTTATTACAACCATTTCTCTTTCATCCTGTCCCTTCCCTTTAACTTTCTCCTTATCAATTATAATATGCTGTTCAACTTGTTCAATAAAATTAATATCTTTATTTTCTTTACCTAGTAAAGTGATTATAACCAATAACGTCATTACGATGACCGATAGTAAGACGATAATTAATCCATAATTAGGCGTTCCATTTTTTTTAAATTTCTCCCCTAACTTTGCTTCAATTTGCGCCGATGATGCCGCTATTAAACTACCCAATTGATAAGTTAACCCTGGGAACGTACCACGAAGTTCTGGTGGCGAAAGTTCATTCAAGTGCGCTGGAACCACTCCCAATGCCCCCTAATATTTTTAAAAAAATTTGACAAGATTTTAATACCATAAATTAAATTTGTTTAAAAAAAAAAAAAAATCATTTATACCTGTACAAAAAAGTAGACTGCAAAAGCTCCGACAATCAACCATCCAAATTGTCTTGGCAATATATATAATGACATAAAACAAGCCGCCAAAATTACCGAGATAACGATGGTGATCTTACGACCGTATAATTGTGACATATACCCACAAGTTAAGCCTCCAATTATAGCCCCTATATTTGCTACCACTGTAAGTATTGTAACTTGACTTGATGTATATCCGAGTTGTACTTTTAGGAATGTTGGATACAAATCTTGTGTACCTTAAAAAAAAAAAAAAAATATGCATTAAATGTCTTTGTTTAAAAATAAAAAATAAAAAATTTTATTGCGCGACACGAATTAATTGTACCTACCATGACTCATAAAACTAAAACAAGCCATTAAAAGAACGCAATAGATGAACCTTTTCCAATGAAGTTTTAATGCTAATTTAATACTATTCAGAAAGGTTTTACCGATTGATTTTTCAACTTTACGATGAGCTTCCCAAACTGGCGACTCTTTTACAAAG